AAGAATTTATTTTACACCAAAAGGTTAAATACTGTAATTAATTTAGGTTTATGTCTATGTATTGACTTTGGTTTTGCACATTATTGGTTTAATACAACTCACCAGCAATGAAACACAATCCAAACTATTATCCTGACATAAATACAACTTCGAAATATCTTCACTGACACTACAAACACCCAAACAACGCCCATCAGTTAGGCTTATTAAACCTATAGCTCCATTTTCATAACCAACCAGAGCATTTTGATTGCAGTCCAATGTTTGCCACCAAACAATACACTGAGGTTTGGATTCTGGTGCTTGCGAATGTTTAGGGAAATGTGTTACATCATTTAAAGACCATTTACAATCAACTTTCTGTTTCCTGTCTACCAAACTTAATGCAGGTAAAATATACAATGAACCATCTAGAGCTACAATAACAAATGGATTTTTAGTGTGACTTAACTATATTAATTTCCTGTTTTACTTACATACTGTTAACAACCATGTAGCTGTGTTATCGAAACAAATTGCTTGAACTTCTTTAGTTTTTCCAGTAAACCAGGGTATTCTTCTTACAACTGAAGGCAATTCTCCATATGTATAGTAAAGAACAATGTCCCCAGTTCTTAAATAATTTTTATGATATGAATTTATACTGTAAAATATGTCTTTTAAGCAAATACATACTTTAGTACCAATGCCACTAGCTGTTTAACACCATTTTCTACCCTTGCTGCTAACTTTATATCTAAATTGTTTAATAAGCATTTTAACTGAAATAAGTCCTCTAAATTAGTTCTAGCCATTCCAAAAGACTTCCAATTTCTATCGAAGTTTAAAGGCAAAGTTGACTGTTGTAAAGTAACTCTTAAAAACCTGCATCTTTTACATTTAAAAGTGAGGGAAGTAAAATTTGATCAACACCCAACTCTAATCGGAATTTATTATAAATTATCTTCATTATAAAATTCTCCTGGAAAGATTATTTGTAACCTTACAAGATATTACAACTAGAAAATTTATTTCCCGTTTGTTTTGTTCTTATAAAAGTAAGGTTATGCTTATCCATGGATAACAATTCTGTCAATTTATACTATAGATAAGATTTATACTGTTAATGAAACTAACCACAGATGCGTAATAGAAATTGCTACTAGTGATAGATTACTATTTAACAGTGTTATATTTTAACTGTTATTCAGAAGTAACAATAACAATTTGTTATGCATTCCCGTTCCAAATGTCTAACGTAAGTTAAGTTTATGGGGTAATTTAATGAAAATTTCACAACTATTAAATACGCTGCTAGCCGACTGAGCAAAAAAAGACAAATTGTACTGCCTGAATGTGAAAAAAAAAATGGAAAAATGCTCTAAAACCGGAAAAAAGCTCCAGAAAAATTTCTCCTCGGAAAAAAAACCGCAGAAAGAAATGCCCCTTGGAAGAGAATTTCCTGAAAATTATTTTATAGAGACCTTAAGTATGACTTTTAGTATTCTTTAATGATGGAATGCTATAATTTCCCCGATAATTAACCCACCCAGAAAAGTCCCCCGCAAATAAATTTATAGGTATTAACGAAGTAAGTATCATTATCCATATTGGTAAAAAACGGAAAATTAACATAAAGAGTGAACAGTTTTATTTATACGAAGTAAAACCAAAACTTGATAATTTTTGGAATACAATTGGAAGGAAAAAGATATGGACTATTGCATACGCAGATGATGCAGTATTGCTGGCGGATAATTTTGTTGAATTGAAGGAAATAATAGGAAAGCCAGAAAACTATTTAATAAACAATGGGCTGAGCTAAAAAATAAAAAATCAGGGGTTGTGGAAGAAGAGAGGAAGAAAGGGAATGGAAAAAATGTATGTTGAAGTGATAATAATAGAGATGAAATACATATTAGTCATTGAAATGCAAAAGGGAAGGCAATTATGGGATGCATATTTTTCAAAATTGTTTATCAGATTTTGGAAATTTTGTTTGTAAAAAACATCGACAAAATCTGTAATTGGAATTAATGTAAGGGTTCTCTCTATCCTTCCTTTTGAACCTAACTTTACTCTATTCCTTCCGTTTTGAACCTGAAATTGGTGGATGTTTTAATATAATAAAACATAATATAAAACTAACGTTAAATTATTTCAACAGGATGTCATTAGGTGGATCAGTTTCTAATTTACTAATTAAACTGCATTAGTATAACTGAAGGCACCTATAAATTGTATTATGTATCTATGATAGGTATAGAAAGAATTTTCATCTATAGGTCTTCCGGCTCGTCTGTCGTTTCATCTTGTCATTCAAGTTCAATTGTGTTCGGTCTTCGAGAAGATGATGTACCACCATTTTTGCTGTCCATAAATGGAACGACGCTTGAAAGTATTTAGCCCTGATTTTTATTCAATTTTCATTTTATTTATTGTGTGGAATGCGTTTCAGTTTAGTGATTGATTGGTTTCAATTACCCGTTCCGTCATTGTATTTTGTCATGAAAAACTTGGGTGGCGTGTTCGTTTCGTGCTCTAATATCGAGTGTGTCGTGGCATCTTGCCTGTACTCATTTAATGTGAATTTTATCAATTCTTAGTTTATTGGAGTTTGAATAGTTAGGGTTTTGTTAGAATTTTTAAATTTTGAATACACGCTTAGGCGATGATTCTAGATTTTTCATATTGATGTGACCACGCCACAAAGATTGTTTTCATTTTATAGCCTAAATATGTAAAATATTTCTTAATGCTATTATTCTGCTTTTAAAACTCCAAATTTCCTTTAAAATTTTTTTAACATTTACCCTGTTATTCTATAGATTAGGTTTTAACGACTTTCTTTTTCAGTAATATAGANTATATGATAAGCTTTTATAACCATTTTTATTTCGAAGTAGGTAATAAATTCAATCTTCAAGTTTGAATATTCACTTTATTTTACCTACATGATCGGTTACAATGTAAAAAGATCCAGTCCAAATAACTGCCTTATTTGGTTTAATAAAATATTACTTTAAACACAGTTTACGTGGATATCATTAATTAATTAACTAAAACTAATTGTAATTTGAGATCAAACGACTAGTCCCAATGTTTAACAAATATGAAATTACTTAAGGCCACATTGCATGCACTCGCACAGATTATTAAAAAGTAAGCGCTGAAGTTTTTTGTTATTAAAAAATTCAACAAATCAATATTTCATAACAGAAACAGTAATTTTTTTATTTTTGTAACTATTTCATAAAATGTTTAAAACTAAATAAATAAATACATATCTACATGAAATATGGCTTTTTAATTTTAATAACTGAAAACATTATGCAATAAAAATTACCAAGAATTAATTGTATAATAAGCAATTATTCTTATTTCATTAAACAATTGAATAAGCGCGAATAGAACATAGTTTTCACATTTTTTTAGAACATTTTGTGTTTCCTTTGTAGTAAATCTTTAAGATTTCTTTATTTTCTACTTGAAGTCAGTATTAGGTTTATTGGCACTACTCCTCTTTTCTGACTCTAATCTACATGATTAATAGAATAAGTCATTTTAATGAAATCAAATACATTGCTAAATGTTCTACCTATTGAAAGCTGATTGCACTTAGAAACCATAGCGTTGTTGTAATAATATCACAGATTACAAATTAAAATGAGATTCCTCTAAGCTTAAAATTCATATTTAATGTTTGGAAAAACAAACACGCATTGATATAATGGCAATATATACCCAAGGTAATACAATAAAAACCTGTCAAACTTTGTAAAAAAAATATAAAAAGCGTTCGTGCGTATAAAACATCTTTTAGTGCAAGGTATACACGTTTAGTTAAAACTTAGCATACTGGGTGATTATTTTTCGATGGGAATCGATTTTTGTCTTAATACTTCACCTTATGAGAAAAATCCATATGCATCAGAAAATGAGCACCGCGTAGATATTCAAATACAAATACAGTTTACATATTGTGAAAAACGCAAAACAAATTTTTTAATTACTTTGTGCCTAGAAACAATTTTCTCTAAAATATAGTATCAAATGAGTAAACAGCGTTTTGTACGTACTTTTTTGTTATTACTATATTTTTACATTAAGCCTTGTTAACGTTCTCCAATACCATGTAACAAAGTTGCAGACAGAACTTAGTTGAAAACTCTTTTAAGAAATTAGCTGAAGTTTTGTCTTTTTCATCAACATCTTTCTTCACAAATTCTTCCCCCAAATTGTTGTTAAAATTTTTACAGAATAGTAATATGGACAATGGATAAAAATATTTATCCATATTTTTCAATAATATATTTTCCAGAACAGAAACTGGCAAGTTGTTTGCAAGCCAAAATTCGATACTTTTCAACAGTATATTCTGCATTAAAATGTGATTTTCAGACATGTGTATCTTCTGGATATAAAATTCAATCAAATGAAATGCTTGTTTAACTATTTCTTTAGTGTTTTCGTCTTTTATATGTGCATAGATCTCATTATCCTTATTGAGTTCACCATCAGAAGGTTTTGAGTACGAGATCAGTTTCGAAATATTTGATATCGGGGGAGAACTTTCACTTTTAATTGAACTAAGAAATTGGGCCATTGTCTGTTTCATTTCTCCAAACTCCGACATGCTACACGGACTTTCTCTTCCACCCTGATTTTCGGCTTCATCGGTCCATTGTTTTAAACTATCCAATGAGGAACTGGAACTTAATATTCGTGCAGGAGAATTGGTTATTTTATTGTTTGTTGGAGTTACATCAATCTCGCTTTGTCTATTAGAGTCTATTATTGAGTCGCAAGACTTATCTTTTACCACAGGACTATTAAAAATTTCAAAGTTTAGTTTGAACTTTGTACAATGCTCTTTAAAAGCCATTAATTGGAAGGAAAAACTATCACTGTAATGACCCTCCAACAAAGCAATTTTACTTGCAGCTTGGTAATTCTTCATCTGTAAACATTTGGAAAGGATTGTTTCTGTATCGTATAAGCCGTGGTAAGTTTCAAGGACATAATGCAACGTTTTGGGTCCATATTTAAAGGAATAATCAGAATCTATATAATGAATATTGGATGTTAATTTGTTTTCAAGTGAATGTATAGAAACAGGAGTAGTTTTTGATAAAATCGTTTGATGATTTAAAGGGGTAAAAGTAATTGCCATTGAAGGTAAACTTGGGACTTCAACAGGGGGCGAATCGCAGTTAATATGGAAACCATGGGGTAGGCGTATTACGCGTTTCGTATTTTTAAAAATAACTAATTTTCCATCAGGCCTTCTTGACTCATCTTCACTGGATTTTCCAGTTAAAGTCTGTCAGTAATTATTGTTTATTAAATTGGATACTTTGATAAAGGATTTCTTTTACTTACTTGCGCCATTGAATAGCTTCCCCATGCCAAAACTTTTCCAGAATGGTCAACAGCCATTGTGTAATCAGAACCACAACCAACATGAATAAATCTTTGATTAAAAATTCCCATATCCTTTTCACTTATTTTTGGGGGCGCTAATTCTTCATCTAAATTTTTTCCGATTAGAAGTTTTCCATTATGCAGAACAGCAGTATGTCGAAAACCAGCAGCCACCTGCTCAATAGGCTTTTGAATTGATCCAGAATAAATGTGCATTGTTGCCTTCCAAGGTTCAGAGAGTTTACTTATCCCCGAGTCTGTTCCCTTTTGACTTTGTTTTGACTGAGACAGTCTCATTTCTTGGGGACTTGCTCCCCATGTATACACTTCCTGATCTACTCGAACAGCAATCTAAAAGAAAAAAAATAGGCTTATTAAAATTTAATAATTTGAAAAGTGGCACTACCTACGTTATGAAAATACGCAGAAGAAATTTTTTCTAAAGGCATATAAATGTCTGGTAAGAGAAAAACAGGAATTGGGTGGCTAGTTTTCATAATTTCAAGATTATTGCTTTCTAGCTGACCAAAAGCATTTGACCCAAATCCGAACAGTTTTCCATCTTTTGTTAATACTAGACTATGTGCATGTCCGGCAGCAATTTGTACTATTATATCAGGCAAACTGAGTAATTTCGGAATGTACTGATTGTCACAAGAACCATGACCCAATTGACCGTGAATACCCCAACCCCAAGTATACACTTGACCGATTGCAGAAAGGGCTATGCTATGATACTGTCCAGCTGCAACATCCACAATCTTAACAGTAGATAATGCTGATATTACTTGAGGATAAGGACTTTCATGTACTTCCTGGCCGAGACCCAATTGGCCTAAAGTATTAGATCCCCAACAATAAATCTAAAGATTAAAAAACAGCATTTTAAGAAATTTAAGAGTTGGATCAAATATTTCATTTAATAAATCAAAAATATAATATACTATGGGGACAACAGTTAATAACTTACTCCATAATCCGTCAGTGCCAGGGTGTGCTTTCTCCCACAACTAACGCTGATTGCATTTACTTTAAGTTCAGAAAGTGTGTGAACTATTCTCGGAGGGCTACTTTGTATAAGCAGAGGACCAAATCCAAGACACCCCGAACTCGCTACACCCATTGAATACACCTGACCATTGCGAATAATAGCTGCGTGTTCGAAGCCACATCCTAGAGGTTGGGCACTTGGCATTTTTTTGATAAAGCTTTGTTGCGAAGGCATTTCAGGTGGATCAATTTTTTCCAAAAGATCAATATTATACCTGAGTAATTAATTTACAACTATTTTGACACAATAAGCATTTAAAAACTTACCCAAATTCATTGGTTTTAGACACTAAACAAATAAGAACTACTATAAACGTTTCTATGAACTCTTTAACAATAGTTGACCCTTTGTCAAAATTTTCTACTTCTAAAGATTCAATCATTGATTCCATACTTGTCGAATTTCTTCTATTCTGAAATACCCTACCAATTAATGGCAAAGCAGCGGGTTGACTAGGATCCAACTGAAAAATCAGTCTTTGCAACACATAAACGGGAAATGAATCAATGTTTGCACGAATAAAATTCAATAGAAGTTGACTACAAGAAGGAAAAATAAGTAAACTTTGTGTAAGACACGGTTCAGAAAGTGTCAGAAGGAAATTATAGGTGTATTCATGGTGTACAGAAGCGGAATGAATGATTTGACTAATTGCAGCTACTACTTCTGGTTGTAAACCACGCGATTTTGCTAATAAAGACACCACATTCCACTGTCCCGCCTGACAGGCTACATTTACTGCGAGAACTTGATCGTAAAATTCTTCATGTTTTAAGAAATTCCTGAAAACAAAAAATGAATATGTTACAAAACCTAATTCTAAAATTTGTTTTTCATTTGAATCATTGCTATTTCCTTACATAAAATTTTTGGTGTTTTCTATCCTCTTTTCCCCTCCAAATCTCAGTATCTCTTCAATAAAAGCCATAACAGCCAAATTTCCCATGTGAATTTTTGTTGGAATTGACATGTCAACTTTACTCACACTTAGACATAAATGCACGAATTTTAGCAAAGCTTGAGAATCTCCACAAATCGCGAGTTTAAGAACCCGCTTAAGGAGGTGCGATTTTGCCTGCTTATACATAATTAGACCTTGATGAAATGAACCATTAGAAATTAAAATATCGCCACAATTTTCTAATAACTGTTGTAAATTAAGAGAGAAAACTATCGCAATTTTTTCAGCTTTTTCCAAATCACTTTCTTCTATAACATACTCGACAAATTTACGTATAGGAGAAGCTCTAAAAACAATAACTAAATTAAAATAACATAAACAAAAGCAACATATTTAACATACTTTACAATTAATCTATATATAGCACAATTACTAATTACTATACAAGTATCAATTTTTGGTTTAGCCATATTCACGTCGTTTACGCTTTTGGGAAGATTTAGAGATTTTTCTTTTTCTTTCCTCTTTTCCTCTTTATGTCTTCTATCATGTACAAAAGTTATATCAGTTAGTTTAAAAATATTTAGAATTTTTTCATCCTTCTCCAGACTAAATTGTGTTATAAGTGATTCAGTATTAAATTCCTGAAACATTAAGGATTTAGAGTAAAAACAATAAATTATTGAACGACTTTACAGCATCGCCTTCAAGATGACATTCTGATAATTGCGAACTAACAACAGATAATGTTCTGGAGTCTTCACTAACGCAATAAATAAATCTATCTGTCAAAAGTAAACAACCAACATTAGGTAACAGTCTATGAACAAACAAAGGAGCAGACTCAATATCAACACCATGTATCTAAAAATAAGAGTTTCAATTATATGCAAATATATAAGAAAAATTATTTTACTGTCAGCAAGCTTGTAGGCTTATAAAACGCAGAAAATAAATATCTGTTTCTTGCATATTGAGGTGCAAAAAATGTGTCACAAAGGTGTGGCAGTAGCTCAGGTCCACTGTGTGAATATTCTGAACGTTCTGAATGTGACGATTCACTTGTAGAATCACTGGTTTGACTATCCCTTCTTTGACCTCCTCTAGCTTCTGATAATCGTTGTTTAAAAGATACAAACTTATCAACACCCATCTGCTTCAGACTTTGTAGTCTTGAAGCCATACTTTCTTGAGAAATTGAATTATTTTCTGGTGGCCAAACATATCCAGTGGAATGTTGTTCAAGAATTAGTCGCCACTGTTGACCACTTACTCCACATATCTAGAGAAAAAAGTTAAATTGAACAACAAACCTTACTAGAATGAATCTGTTTCCATTTCTTCCCCTTTATCTAGAGTACCTACAGAATCAAAGCCAATACAGGAGCAAGAAGAATTTATTTTACACCAAAAGGTTAAATACTGTAATTAATTTAGGTTTATGTCTATGTATTGACTTTGGTTTTGCACATTATTGGTTTAATACAACTCACCAGCAATGAAACACAATCCAAACTATTATCCTGACATAAATACAACTTCGAAATATCTTCACTGACACTACAAACACCCAAACAACGCCCATCAGTTAGGCTTATTAAACCTATAGCTCCATTTTCATAACCAACCAGAGCATTTTGATTGCAGTCCAATGTTTGCCACCAAACAATACACTGAGGTTTGGATTCTGGTGCTTGCGAATGTTTAGGGAAATGTGTTACATCATTTAAAGACCATTTACAATCAACTTTCTGTTTCCTGTCTACCAAACTTAATGCAGGTAAAATATACAATGAACCATCTAGAGCTACAATAACAAATGGATTTTTAGTGTGACTTAACTATATTAATTTCCTGTTTTACTTACATACTGTTAACAACCATGTAGCTGTGTTATCGAAACAAATTGCTTGAACTTCTTTAGTTTTTCCAGTAAACCAGGGTATTCTTCTTACAACTGAAGGCAATTCTCCATATGTATAGTAAAGAACAATGTCCCCAGTTCTTAAATAATTTTTATGATATGAATTTATACTGTAAAATATGTCTTTTAAGCAAATACATACTTTAGTACCAATGCCACTAGCTGTTTAACACCATTTTCTACCCTTGCTGCTAACTTTATATCTAAATTGTTTAATAAGCATTTTAACTGAAATAAGTCCTCTAAATTAGTTCTAGCCATTCCAAAAGACTTCCAATTTCTATCGAAGTTTAAAGGCAAAGTTGACTGTTGTAAAGTAACTCTTAAAAACCTGCATCTTTTACATTTAAAAGTGAGGGAAGTAAAATTTGATCAACACCCAACTCTAATCGGAATTTATTATAAATTATCTTCATTATAAAATTCTCCTGGAAAGATTATTTGTAACCTTACAAGATATTACAACTAGAAAATTTATTTCCCGTTTGTTTTGTTCTTATAAAAGTAAGGTTATGCTTATCCATGGATAACAATTCTGTCAATTTATACTATAGATAAGATTTATACTGTTAATGAAACTAACCACAGATGCGTAATAGAAATTGCTACTAGTGATAGATTACTATTTAACAGTGTTATATTTTAACTGTTATTCAGAAGTAACAATAACAATTTGTTATGCATTCCCGTTCCAAATGTCTAACGTAAGTTAAGTTTATGGGGTAATTTAATGAAAATTTCACAACTATTAAATACGCTGCTAGCCGACTGAGCAAAAAAAGACAAATTGTACTGCCTGAATGTGAAAAAAAAAATGGAAAAATGCTCTAAAACCGGAAAAAAGCTCCAGAAAAATTTCTCCTCGGAAAAAAAACCGCAGAAAGAAATGCCCCTTGGAAGAGAATTTCCTGAAAATTATTTTATAGAGACCTTAAGTATGACTTTTAGTATTCTTTAATGATGGAATGCTATAATTTCCCCGATAATTAACCCACCCAGAAAAGTCCCCCGCAAATAAATTTATAGGTATTAACGAAGTAAGTATCATTATCCATATTGGTAAAAAACGGAAAATTAACATAAAGAGTGAACAGTTTTATTTATACGAAGTAAAACCAAAACTTGATAATTTTTGGAATACAATTGGAAGGAAAAAGATATGGACTATTGCATACGCAGATGATGCAGTATTGCTGGCGGATAATTTTGTTGAATTGAAGGAAATAATAGGAAAGCCAGAAAACTATTTAATAAACAATGGGCTGAGCTAAAAAATAAAAAATCAGGGGTTGTGGAAGAAGAGAGGAAGAAAGGGAATGGAAAAAATGTATGTTGAAGTGATAATAATAGAGATGAAATACATATTAGTCATTGAAATGCAAAAGGGAAGGCAATTATGGGATGCATATTTTTCAAAATTGTTTATCAGATTTTGGAAATTTTGTTTGTAAAAAACATCGACAAAATCTGTAATTGGAATTAATGTAAGGGTTCTCTCTATCCTTCCTTTTGAACCTAACTTTACTCTATTCCTTCCGTTTTGAACCTGAAATTGGTGGATGTTTTAATATAATAAAACATAATATAAAACTAACGTTAAATTATTTCAACAGGATGTCATTAGGTGGATCAGTTTCTAATTTACTAATTAAACTGCATTAGTATAACTGAAGGCACCTATAAATTGTATTATGTATCTATGATAGGTATAGAAAGAATTTTCATCTATAGGTCTTCCGGCTCGTCTGTCGTTTCATCTTGTCATTCAAGTTCAATTGTGTTCGGTCTTCGAGAAGATGATGTACCACCATTTTTGCTGTCCATAAATGGAACGACGCTTGAAAGTATTTAGCCCTGATTTTTATTCAATTTTCATTTTATTTATTGTGTGGAATGCGTTTCAGTTTAGTGATTGATTGGTTTCAATTACCCGTTCCGTCATTGTATTTTGTCATGAAAAACTTGGGTGGCGTGTTCGTTTCGTGCTCTAATATCGAGTGTGTCGTGGCATCTTGCCTGTACTCATTTAATGTGAATTTTATCAATTCTTAGTTTATTGGAGTTTGAATAGTTAGGGTTTTGTTAGAATTTTTAAATTTTGAATACACGTTTAGGCGATGATTCTAGATTTTTCATATCGATGTGACCACGCCACGAAGATTGCTTTCATTTTATAGCCAAAATATGTAAAATACTTCTTAATGCTATTATTCTGCTTTTAAAATTCCAAATTTCCTTTAAAAAATTGGATTTGGTTTTAACGATTTTTTTTTTCTGTAATATAGACTTGCTTTGAGATGACATCCTTGGATTCGACAAACACTACTTACAAATATGTGGCAATCAGACATTTTTATTTCCAAGAATGCCCCCAGCGAGCTGGTCAAAAAATTCATAGGATACAGGGTGCTAACAATGGTAATTATCATTAATAATATAATATTAAAAAATCTACTGGATGTATAACTAATATTAAATTGTTTCAACAGGTTTCCATTAAATCATAATAAATGTACAGGGAGAGGGTAAATTAAATGGCCACGAAACGTGAGGAAGCAGAACCCCAATCACGCTTGTTTCTCTTGAGCTTGGAAAGGGTAAGAAATCTTTAAATATTTTATTTTTATTTGTTTGACAATAATTACTACTATAAGCTTTTAGACTTGTGAATTGTAATAGTTGGTGGAAGTTATGGTTCTTAAATATTTTAAAACATGATATTTAAAATGAAGCTAACATAATATTGATTCAACAGGATGCATTTAATCGTATTAAATGAACAAGGAGACAGAAAATAAGGACTCAAAGTCTGGAGAAGTGAAGCCCTTATTTCCCTCCCCTTGGGCGTGAAGGTGCAATTTCCAGAACATGTATGGAATCCGAATTACACTGATCCATAAAAGGAAGGTTGCGGTGTGGTGTATGGCTTATTCCACTTATTTCCTTTCATCAGCATCTACTGTTAAGAGGCACCTCTCTTTTGTCAGCAGTTAGGAATAGAACTCGAGCACGTATAGTGATCCTCTAGGTGAGCTATTGTTTTGAAGTTACGATTTCATAGTAATTTGCCACCTGTAACATCTATGGTTTTACTTCTAACAGTTATCTATTGTTCACAGCATAAATCGATGTTATCTATGGGGTTCTCTTTTAACTATCCACTGTATAAATTGACATCTTGCATCTACGGTTATTTCTATTGCCTTTAACTTTTATCTATGACATGAATAAAGTTGACATCTCATCGCCATTTTATAATTTAGGTGTTTTACTTGCGTTTTTGTTCATTATTTTACTTAATTTAAATCCCTTTTTTAATTGATTGTGTAACTAATACTCTTTTTTGTCCATCTCTACAGATCGTCTGACAAATAGGAGAGAAATAAAGTTCAGGTTGATGGTACTGAAACAATATCTGCAGGGTTTGGTGGACTACATTCTTGATTTGCTGTTTTCGACTTCACCTTGCAACATTATGCAGTTAATTTTCAAGTGATTAGTGAGAGCAACTAAAGATTTATGTGAATTCCACTGAAATAAGAAATTTTCTGCATTGGCATTCCTCTTGGATTTGATTTGCTTTTTACACCTGCAAACTTTGGAACATTACGGTCTACAGTTAACTAAGGTGAGAATACTTGATATTATTAATTTTAATTGCTCCATATTAATCTGTTACCACCGTATCTGTTTCAGGTCGACGTTGGAGAAGACAAAGATGACCCCGTAGTTAAAATAGTTCTATATCTTGCATGCTCTATGTAATAGAATTCAAGTTCATTTTGTTCAAATTAGTTTTTTTATTTTGCATGTTTTTTTGTAGTTTATTTTATTTAAATTAGTTTTTATTTTGCATGCTTATTTTTGTTCATTTAATTTGAAGTAATTGTTGATTGTAGATGTTTTTATTTTTTTTTGTATGTAGTAGTAGTGTAGTAGTAGAAATAACACGTTTAGTAGTTGTAGTATAGTCTAACCTTGCTTACCTCTTCGCTTAGCTTACTGCATATTCTTCCTAATTTGCTTTGCATTTACCCTACGAGTTCTACATGATTCAACGTTTCGTTATCGTGTGTGTTTCTTCTCACCCTTGTGGAATTAGGGAGGGCCTCCCCGAACGACTTCCCTTGGGCTTAGCTATTTAGTTGATCTTAAAAGTGTCTTATACACTTTTCGCGAGTCTACTCTAGCGTTACTTCCTTTCAGACAGGGTACAGTGGGTTATCTGGAATAGGAGCAATAGGCGACTGCCCAGCTTGCCTTGGCGAAATCTGTCCGATCTTCTCTACCAAAGCTATTAGTATTTGTCGTTAGTCCTTGTAATTGCACTATTCGCTTTCAGGTAACCAAAGAAGACGAAGGCATCGTATTGTTTGCTTTTTATTGTATTTTCTTTGAAATTTCATGTTTTCTTGTCTTTCTTTTACAGGTATTTATGTTTTCTTGTCTTTCTCTTACAGGTATTTTGTTTATTACTTTATGAACTGTTATATTATGTAATTGTAACTTAGAATGATAGTTAAAATGTTTCTAAATTGATCTTTTGGCATAAATGTTAAAATTAAATTAAATATTTGTTTATTAAAATTCATTTGGGTGGATAGGGTGGCTATAAGGGGAGATGCGGAGGCCACAGAGGGTTAGGGAGAATTTTTTCTCCTTAATCTTGTGTTGAAATGGTAATATAACAGTTCGTAAGTAATATAAGATTTTTTATTGCATATAAATGTGATTTGTTTTCCTTCTCTTACAGGTATTTTCTTTTTACTCTGTAAACTGTTAATTAATTGCCTGGTTTTGTAATTATTAAATAATATATATATATTATGTATTAAACTATTACTTGAAATAAATATGTTGTAATTAGTGTAATTAATAAATATATGGGTCTAATTAATATATTTTAATTTTATTTGCTGTTTTATTGAATAATCTCTAATACAGAAGGAATTTATCGAAAACTTTTCAGCAAAAGTTAAATTTTAATTTATATACATAAAAAGACAATTCAAGCAATAAATTTCTACTATTTTGCCAAAAAAAAAGTTAACCAGAGCGTATTTAGATCATTTATTGAATAGTCTTTGATATTAAATGTGATTTATTGATGAATTATGCAAAAATTTTCAACAAAAGTTCGATTTGGGTTCATGTATGTGGGAGGATTTTAACCGAAAAAACGTAAAAAATAACAAGTAGTTATTTCTTGGCAAAAATAAAGCAAGCGGGAGCTCTTTATATCATTTGTTAGTTTATCTATATCATCAGTTATCATTTATCAATGAATTAAGCAAAAATATTTGGCAGAAGTTCGATTTTGGTTCCCAGTCAATCGACAGGTAGCATACATGGGTTTTTTTTGGGAACCGAAATCGAACATTAGGACAAATTTTTCCTTAATTCATCAGTAAATGACAACTGATAACGATAATTAATTAATAAATGATAAGAACTAGCTGTGGCTTGCTTTATTTTTGTTCAAAAATGACTATTTATGGTGTTTTTTACGTTTTTCCGTTCAAAGTCGCACCATGTATATGAACGAAAATCGAAATCGAAAAGTAATGGAAAATTCAAAAGTTGTTTTTTGAAAAAGACCCGATGCAACTTATGCTCTCCTAATACAAATGTTGAAATTTATGAAAATTTTCAGTTTTGAGCCAAATACGAGGGTTAGTCGAAAAGTAATGGAAAATTCAAGTTGTTTTTTGAAAAAGACCCGATGCAACTTATGCTCTCCTAATACAAATGTTGAAATTTATGAAAATTTTCAGTTTTGAGCCAAATACGAGGGTTAGTCGAAAAGTAATGGAAAATTCAAGTTGTTTTTTGAAAAAGACCCGATGCAACTTATGCTCTCCTAATACAAATGTTGAAATTTATGAAAATTTTCAGTTTTGAGCCAAATACGAGGGTTAGTCGAAAAGTAATGGAAAATTCAAGTTGTTTTTTGAAAAAGACCCGATGCAACTTATGCTCTCCTAATACAAATGTTGAAATTTATGAAAATTTTCAGTTTTGAGCCAAATACGAGGGTTAGTCGAAAAGTAATGGAAAATTCAAGTTGTTTTTTGAAAAAGACCCGATGCAACTTATGCTCTCCTAATACAAATGTTGAAATTTATGAAAATTTTCAGTTTTGAGCCAAATACGAGGGTTAGTCGAAAAGTAATGGAAAATTCAAGTTGTTTTTTGAAAAAGACCCGATGCAACTTATGCTCTCCTAATACAAATGTTGAAATTTATGAAAATTTTCAGTTTTGAGCCAAATACGAGGGTTAGTCGAAAAGTAATGGAAAATTCAAGTTGTTTTTTGAAAAAGACCCGATGCAACTTATGCTCTCCTAATACAAATGTTGAAATTTATGAAAATTTTCAGTTTTGAGCCAAATACGAGGGTTAGTCGAAAAGTAATGGAAAATTCAAGTTGCAAGTCGAACTTTGCTTTTGCTTAATTTATCAATAAATCACATCTAATATTAAAGATTACTCAATAAATGATCTAAATACGCTCTCGTTTTCTTTATTTTTGCCAAATAACGGAAATTTATTTAACAAATTGCGTTTTTTTTGTCAGGATCTACCCATATTAGGAATTAAAATTGCAGACATTTTTTGCTTAATTCATCGATAAATGATATCGGATATCGTAAATTAAGTAAAAAAGACCCTGTAGAAGTACGATTTTCATTTCTATTCGTGGTTTAACCGAAATAAAAAGGCAAGGAGCAATAAAATTTTATAATCTGGTAAAAATAAAGCAAATAAGAGTGCCTTTAGATCGTTTTTTTGACGAAGTAGCGACGTTTACACGTTTATTGTCAAAAACAATTCAAAGGTAGCTAAATTTTGGTGAAGGTGCCAGANAAGCGGGAGCTCTTTATATCATTTGTTAGTTTATCTATATCATCAGTTATCATTTATCAATGAATTAAGCAAAAATATTTGGCAGAAGTTCGATTTTGGTTCCCAGTCAATCGACAGGTAGCTATACATGGGTTTTTTTTGGGAACTAAAATCGAACAATAGGACAAATTTTTCGCTAATTCATCAGTAAATGACAACTGATATGGATAATTAATGAATAAGTGATAAGAACTAGCTGCGGCTTGCTTCATTTTTGTTAAAAAATGACTATTTATGGTGTTTTTTACGTTTTTTCGTTCAAGGTTGACCCACGTTTAGGAACGAAAATCGAACGAATCGTTCTGAAAATCGAGTTGAAAATTTTTGCTTAACTGCTCGATTCGTTCGATTTTAGTTCATATACGTGGGTCGATTTTAGACGAAAAAACATAAAAACAGAATACATAACCATTTTTTTACAAAAATAAAGCATGCTACAGCTAGTTGTTATCATTTATTAATTAATTATCTATATCAGATAACATTTACTGGTGAATTAGCAAAAATTTTGTCCTAATGTTCGATTTTAGTTCCCAAAAATAACCCATGTATAGCTACCTGTCGATTGTTTTTGGGAACCGAAATCGAACTTCTGCCAAATATTTTTGCTTAATTCATCGATAAATGATAACTGATGATATAGATTAAACAATAAATGATATAAAGAGCTCCCGCTTGCTTTATTTTTGCCAAAAAATTATTATTTATGGTGTTTTTTACGTTTTTACGGTCAAAATCCACCCACGTATATGAACTAAAATCGAACTTTTGTTGAAAATTTTTGCTTAATTCATCAATAAATCACGTCTAATTTAATAAATGATCTAAATACGCTCTCGTT